ATCTTGTAATCATCACTGAGCACATACCCAACATATATAAAAAACAATGTAATTAAGAGTTAATACTACGAAATACGGCAATGTTTATTACTACTAATACGGCAATGTTTATTATGTCAAAGAAGTAATCGCTGAGCCGAAAATATAATTTTAGTCCCTGTATTTCCTCTTTTGTTCAGTTTACATTGTTCGAAATGTTGCAAATCATTGAGCTTAAAATGTGAGAGTGCAGTGCAACTATGGGAAATATCTCGGAGTGATTCTAGATGAACGAATTAGCCTTAAAGACCATGTAACTAACCAAGTTACCAAAGCAAATAGAGCTTACATGTCCCTCTATAGGGTGCTACTTTGGTAGACGGTTGCAGGGATTTTGGCGTTTTTTTTTTTTTTTTTTTTTTTTTTTTTTTTTTGCGAGCGTACGACTTATGGTCAAACCATGCTGACAGTTATTTTTTAACCGAAACTTGTTGTCATTAATTTGAAAAATATGCGTTTTCTTATGCAAATTGTTTTAATATTATTTGGCTTCTAAATTAAAAAATCAATTTAATTTTGCATTTTATTTGAAATAAAAATTTGTTGTTTATGATATTTTAATAATTTTATCTTAATGATATAATCATGACGTCACCTTACTTAAAAGTAATTGGTTTATTTATATATAAATTATTAATGTTTTAAACATTATTTATGTCTGTAAATTTAAAATAAATTTAATTTTGCATTTTTTAAAATGATTATTTTGAATGATCTTTAAATAATTTTAATTCTATGCGTCATGTAATCAGCTCCCTGATTGTTCTGAATATTTGTGCATTACAATCCATTTTAAATTTTATTATTCATCTCTGAATTTTCCAAGATGGCTGAAGACTGTAAAAACCGAGCCAAGATTGCACCCTGTAAATCGCCAAAATCGTACAACGTCTACCAAAGTAACCCCATAGGGGGAAATCTAAACTTAGTTAAAACTGGTACATCGGTTTAAAACTGCAGTAAAAACGCCAACTATGTTGACGCCATGCTGCAAATTAATTGCGGCAACCCCTAACGCAAGAAGGAAGTATAATCTAAATAACTAAATGATGTTTAATTAGATAAGGTAATTTATATAATATTTTTTATTATTAATTTATATATAAAGACGAAAGTGACGAAGAAGCATAAGAGCAATAAATTTCAAATCTTTTAAATTTTTATAAATTTCTAACATAACTGAATGGATGCCGGTATCGCTATTTCGCTACCGACTTATCGCTAAGATAATTTTAATCTGTTGGTTTCCAAACGTATTTTCTAATAATGATGCCTTTTCTTTGAAAAAATTCTCGGTAAAGTGCAATATCGCCCACTTATTTGTTTGCCTGCTTTTTACAAGTGTAAAAACAATTGCATTTTTGTCAATTATCTTTTACTTTTTAAGTGAAAATAGGACGATGTGTACATAGATAAAGTCAAGGGTTTGCGCAGTGCCATTTTTGTGCAATTTTGGGATTCTTTTTTTTTTTAGTGAAAATAGATCGATGTGTACATGGATACCGAGTATGTGCAATTCTTAAAATCGCGTCAAATAGTGGGTGATTCTGCACTTTACCCAAAATTCTATTGCAGACTTTTCGTCGTAGCCAATTCCCAAATTGTAATCATTGATAGTCAAAATAAATTTAAAATTAAACTAATATTTAATGGCGTCTAAGAAATTGAACTATATAAACTTACGCAATCTGAAATCATCGGACGCTAATTTGGCGCGATGTTAAATGGGCGCTTGCTAGATTGGCGCTTTTGCGTACATTTTCGCTGCAATTTTTTAACTGTCTCAAAACGGAATAGTACCTAAAAACTAAACTTACTCTGTATTTAGCACTTATTAGACCAATTTTGTTACATTGCCCCCACCTGGCAAACGGCGTTAACGACTGAACGAAGGAAAGTTACCTCGCTGCAAATAAAATACTAAGAGCGATGGAATACGCTTGGTAATGTTAAAATACATCATTAGAAGATTTAAAAATTACACCGATACAGTAAGCAACCCTAATGATTCTCACAACTTTTTTGAAAAATGGAGAATTCGCAGTCAATACTTGAGGAATTACAACTATATCCACTGTGGAAGCGTCGTGAACGACCTAGTCATTCACCACAATGTACTTGGTAGCTGTAAATATAATATATTTTATCCAACTTTCTCTTTTTATTGAAGTATTATCCTAGTATTTATCCAAGTATTAACCAGATTTATTTGTGTTTGTGTTTACTACTAAAATCTGGACCTTAGTGCCTGGACCAAACAAACACGTTTAGTGTTATTTGTACAAAGTGTAAATAATGAATTCACCACGCCTACCACTGTGGATCCAACCGTATTGGCTAGTATCGGTCACCTGATACTCATACCCTGAATTCTCAAGAATTAGGTATTATTATCTCGAACCTCTCACTAAGCAGTTTTATGTTCTCCAGTCAGGACTCAGATGACTTTCATGATTTGAATTCATTAATTTTTCTACAACCGTGAATGGCCGTATGGCAAGTTAGAATGATCAGGATTAAACTCTAAGAAGTTGATGCCTGTAGTGAAAGTAAAGCATAAGCATAAGGAAATATGGGTATTTTGTACAGATCCGCTTATCGAGTGGACAAAGTACTTTTATTAGACGAAGTACTTTTTATAGTCATACAGTAATAATAAACCTATGAAAGATATTCGCTTAGAAATATATGCACCTTTATAAACGCTTTAATTTCAAAGAATAATAGTATGAATGGGATATATGCATGATAATGCAATTAACAAATTTTTACACATGCCTATTATGTATACCACCTTGTAAAGGAATCTTATGCCTCTGAAATTTCTTACAAATTATTTTGTATAAAACTTTAATTTATAGAGAAACATTTTAGTGTAGTGAATAAACTTGGTACATGGATTTCTTCATTAATGCATGTGCATATCGACATGGAAGAATTCTTAAGTTAGGGTGCATATGTAAAAGCCTTTCACAAACAAGCATTGTATAGCAACAAACATGAGTAAGCACACAGGCGAAGAATTGTATGTATGTGACATATGTAACAAATCATTCTCGCACAAGTGTAATTTAAAGAGGCATTTACGTATCCACACACAAGAGAAATCTTATACACGTGATATATGTAATTTACACACACGAATGTTTTAGAGATACATGTGGACCCACGTAGAGAAGAAGCCTTATTTGTGTGATATGTGTAACAAAACATTCGCTCGAAAAAATCAATTAATAGTGAACATGCACACTGGTGAAAAGCCTCATGTGTGTGATTTATGTAACAAGCCATTCACACAAAAATGGGATTTAATGGCTCACATAGGTATTCATACAGGAGACAGTCCTCATGTATGTGATGTCAGTAACAAGATATTCACCCGAAAACAACATGTAGTTGGGCATTTGAATACTCACACAGCAGAGAAATGTCATGTATGTGATGTGTGTAATAAACCATTCACAAGGCAACATGATTTACACTGGTGTGCAAAAATTAAGGACGAAGTCGAAAAATTCATCACTGAACGAGAGCAAGCGACAGAAAGCCGTCAGGAGATTAATAAGTATTACGGAGAATGCGCATATGCAGGTAGAAAGTATGTGTGGAGTGTATAAAGCATTTGCGGTGTAAGTATTCTGCAAGAGATGACGCCTATAGCAGTTAAAATCACACGAGCTGCTGCCTCAGCGAGAAATTCGAATAATCAATCTGTTAGACGACATCTGGAGCTTTTACCGAGGTCGAATCATGGGAAGTTGAGGAAGGCCGCAGTGTGACAAGTGTGGTGCATAGTTCGGAATGTCAAGCATCGTTTCAGACTTTGGAGACAATTAACACAGGAAACTACCGGGTTTAGTAGTGGTCGTCCACGAGGACCAACCCAAGAACCGGTATTGACCTACAGGCAGAAAAACATCGGCAGATAGCGGAGAGCTGACACAACACGGCGACTGGATTAACTGGGCAGAAACTGCACGGTGTGGTCTGTTTGCCGACCCCTGTACGTGTGTACCTCTACGCCTCCCCATCGGAGAGGCGTCTCCTGGTGCGGAACACCGGAATTGAGAGACCTGAATGGGGACGAGTACTCTTACAGATGATACGATCAGTCGAGTACGTTCTGATCGCATATCATCGGAAGAGCGGGGAAGCCGCATCATCCCTCGAAATATTGAGGAAGTTGGAGGTGGCGGGGGTTCTCGTTGGGGGGCATCTGCTGGTATCGTACACTTACATCTTCGACGCAGGTCAGTCACGGGACTATTGTACGAGATTCTTCTCCATAGTGCGTTTTAAGGGCTATGGCCGCAGTTCCTTTCCGGACGAAATGCACCATGTCATGCACAGTAGCTGCCGAACAACTCTCGAGAGCGAGATATTGAACAAGGATGGCCGGCACTCCGATCTCAATCCCATCGAGCATGTATGGGATTTCTAGCAACGCTTGGCACTCGTACCTTACACCGTAACGATTCCGAGTTCGATTGGCTGAAGACGAATGGGCAGCAAGCTCACACTCATTGACACCCTCATCTCAGCATGGGCTACGCTGTGAACCTGCTAGCAGCGGGGATTTATCCCTATTAAAGACCGGATGTTCTTGCTGGACCACCAAGGAATGTTTGGCTCAGTCGCATGCGCTCCATGCTACTTTTTCAAAAAAGTTCTTTTTATCCCTCTGATTTCTCTTTTAGTAGTTGCTTACATACTCAGTCCTTACTTATTGGAATCTCACGGTCTTAAATGTGTGATTTGGAAAGCTTTTGTACAAAGTTATATTGAAAAAACCGTCTCGTCCTTAATTTTTGCACACCAGTGCAATTAGACATATGCATATTCACACAGGACAGAAACCACATAAATGTGAAATGTGTACCAAGTCATTCACACAAAGGTATCAATTATTGGAACATATGCATAGTCACACAGAAGAAAAACTTCATATTTGTGAAGTATGTAATAACTCATTCACACGAAAATATCATTTACAACAGCATTTACGCATTCACACTGGAGAAAAACCGTATATATGTGAGATATATGACGAATCATTCACAAGAAGAAATTATTTATCATTTAGTTAACAATATAATACAATATTTGATGAGTACCAGTAGTAACTGACTAGTGGCTTTTCAGTTCATTTTTTGCAATCCACACCAAAGTTAGAAGATTATTATTATTATTGTTATTAATCATGCATATTTAATGAATGTATACTTTTACTTATTTAATGTATAACTTATACTGCTTTGTGCTTATTACATTTACAAATGAAAATTGATTTAGTGATACTGTTGCTGCACATGAATATTCACAGTGTTTCTCATTAACTTTCATTACATTAAAATGTACATTAATATTTTACACACAAGTTTATTCAGAAGGACACTTTGAGTTTCTTACATTTGAAATCATCTGAAAATCTGATTAGAAAAGCTAATTTGAAGGAAATGTTAACTAATAAAATATCATAGAATAATCTATGTTTATTATTAACAGACATATTATTCTTTTCTTAAATTTGAAGTAAATATTAATGACTACTAATGTCTTGAAAGTATCTGTGTCTATCATAGTCGTAATTCCAAAATCCAGATCTCCAGACCACCAATCCAATAAGTAAGTAAATATATAAATAAAATTTAAATATAAGAAAAATTGCCTACCCTGTTTACAATCTAGGAACATAAAATATAATACTCAGCAAAAGAAGGCAGGTGTGCTATAAATGCTATTTTTCTTTCCACTTACTGAGATTTCCTTCAGGCATGTCACTTTCAAACAACTACTAGCTAAAGAGTGGAGTAGTGGTAAGTGACAATCAATTGATTGACATATTGATAATTAAAATTAGTAAATTTTAATTTAAATCTATTTTTTACAGCTTACATTTTTGCAAATTTCAAAGAATTCATTCATGCCTACAAATTCTCAATCTTGTTCCTGTTGTGTAGACGTCCAGTGACAACTGCTCTCCTGTCTTCTGGTCCGGACTGCGCTAATGCTTAACGCCTTTCTGGTACCATGGACCTAAGGTCCGTGTCTGGTATGTACTTACGTAAGATTTTCGTTAGTTGGATTTATGCATAATTTTGTTTTCGTAATTTAAAATGTTATTTGTTATGTATTAAGATAAGTTTTTTAATTACATCTTTCGATATTTATCAATTAATATCAATAAATTGATATTATTTAACAATTAATATCAATAAATTTATTATATAATAATTTATCAATTAATCATTAATAGCATTACTATTGTAGAATCATTTTATAAGAAACGTAAGAAAAGTGCGATGCTCTCGCCGGGACTCGAACACGCGTTGAGTATACTTCCAATTACACCATGAAGGCATACGGAGAGGAGAGAGAAAATACCTTATAGTATAATAACCATATTATCAATTGACATCAGTCAAATGATTGATAAAGTATTCATCAATCAGTTTTAACTACATTATTCGTTATTTTGAATTTATATATTAATTATCCTATTTAGTACAATTTATGCAGGCAATACATTTAAAATAAGGACATAAATAAGCAAACTGAAAATTTCCGTTTATTATTTTATTTAATGCAATTTTAATAACAAATCATTTAAGAAAAAATGAAAAAAGCATACCTAAACATGTCGGAAAATGAATTTTTTACGGACTATTTCTGGTAATCATACTTCAGCAATTGCTGCTGATAATGCTTCAGACATAAACTATAGGTTATTTTTCCATTGATGTAAAGGCCGATAAGAAAAATCGCTGAACACTTGTACTTCGTTCAGGAGCTCAAACCCCGGTGAATGGACTGACTGAATAGGCGTTTCCGAGATTTTCACATATGTAACTTGCATACAAGCCATTTTTTCTTAGAACGTCTTCCATGAAGACCTCTTTTAACTTAATCCATCAAGTGCTATGCCGTAATCAAAACCAAGAGAAAGCAAAACAACTGATGTAAGGTTGACAATGCAGGGTGGAGCAGAGAAACGGAATATTTGGAACGTTAGAGTTGGCATCACTGTAGTGCCGGCAGTTCGGAACCGATGCACAGTTGTTGTAAACGCACTGTTATTTAACAATCATGCAACACTGGTGTGGTGCGGAACGTGCTGTCACTGTGAGAGCGTTTTACAAGTAGGGTGATAGTGTGACTACTGCTCAAAGGGTATTTCGATTCGACAGCATTGCCAGCTAGGACGTCATGAATGTGTTCCATCTGCTCAAGAGATTACAACGTGGGTGCGTAATTTTGAAGAAACTTAAAAAGGAAGCTTCCTGGTGGCGTTCGAACGATACATACCCCAGAGCAGCTGTTCTGCTTTCAATGAAGCGGAGCCCTTGCCGCTCCGTCTGACAACATTCATCTGGGCTAGAGATTGGGCAACGAAGCGTACAAAGAATAATGTACGAATTAATTAACAGGAACTCATATGTTTTACTCTGCTGAGAATTCGGGCATCAGTCCGTTCATCATCTTTAAGTTTTGTAAGATAGTCAATGTTCGAAGATCATCAACATTTTAAAGTTTTGTGGGATAGTCAACGTCCTGAGATCATAGGCATCTTTAAATTTGGGGGGATAGTCAATGTGTAAAGATCATCAGCTTTACGTATTAGAGAACAGTTCTGTGTCCTTAAAAATTCCCGAAGGGGAAGAGTAAAAATTTCGTCTGTTTAAGAAGTGGACCGTCAGGCTCCAAAACTCAGCATCATCTTTAAGTTTGTGGAACCATCAGTGTCCAAAAAGATGTGTATTGTTAAGCGTAAAGGGCTTTGTAATGATAACTGCTATAAAGTATCCGAATCATCCATGTCTATAAAAATTTTAAGTTGTGATTAAAAAAAAATTCATATTCCCGACATCAGCCAGTGCGTCAGATCTACAAGCGGAAAAAGTACCTTAGATTTTTATATTGAGGCAGTGAATTAAACCATTATAAGCTATTTTTGTAATTTAATTTATATGAGGTCTAGTAACTGTTTTCAGTCAACATTATTCCCTTGCTCTAAACTTTAATGAAAGGTATTGCATTGGTTTTGCGTTTTCTATAAGATATCACACATTTTAAGAATCAAACTTGTGTTAATAGACCTTTTAATATCTGAAGTGTTTATGTTAGTTTCTGCAGCAATTAAGTTCGCATAGTTGAATGAGTAGAAAGGAAAGAAATACTATAATTTTATATGTTCTAAAATTTAGCTTTTATTTTAACATATCAGTCCTAAGTTGTTTTAAATGTTTGAATGTTTTGTTACGCAGTTTAAACTATTATTTTGGGTAAGAAATTATAAGAAATGGTTATTTTTCAATTAAATATGTTAAACGAAAATATCAAAAATGCGTAGTATCTTCTGTTTAATCTGTTATCATATTGTCATTAGTTAGGAGCAGAAATTTTAAAATTACATTTGAATGCACACTTTAAAATTTTGATGGTATAAATGTAAAGTGTAATTGCCATAAATTCCCTTGCCATAAATCCTCAAGTTGATCAATTACAATTGAATGCATAGTTTTCATATTTTAATGTAAATTGTCTTTAATTTGTGTTTAGATCAATTGAATTTGTTGTGAAAAATTAAGGGTTAAATTTTGCTCCTCATAGTTGAAAA